CCATAAGCCCCACGATCTTGAAATTTGGTATGCAGGCATAGCTACGGTAGGTGCTTATAGTAAGGTGTATATGAATTAGTTTATAAAAGGGGGCGTGGCACATCTCGTAGGCGTGGATTATTTATCAGCAATAACTTGGGAACCATAAGCCCCACGAGCTTGAAATTTGGTAGGCAGGCACAGCTACGGTAGGTGCTTATAGTAAGGTGTATATGAATGAGTTTATAAAAGGGGGCGCGGCACATTCCGTAGGCGTGGAATTTTTGATCAGCTATAACTTGGGCACCATAAAACCCACGAACTTGAAATTTGGTAAGGTATATATAAATGAGTTTGTAAAAGAGGGCGTGTTACATCCCACAGGCGTGGAATTTTTAACCAGCCATAAATTGGGAGCCACAAGTCACATGAACTTGAAATTTGGTGTGCAGACATATGTATGGGAGGTGTTTACAATAAAGTATATATGAATGTTTTTATAAAAGGCAGATAAATATGTATTCAACTATTAGACCACTCGGATATTTAAAACTGTGTTTTTTTTTTAAACCTTACGGTCTTTAGAGCATTTTGAAATGGAAAGATGAAATCATTTTACTGATCCCGATAATTTGAAAATTCTATCCTTTCCTTAATTCAGCCAATATTAATGATGGAACATGATTTTTAGTACAGAAAGTGATGATCAATATATATTACTTGAAGTACGATAAAGCGAAAAATTTGGCTCATAAGGATGCCTTAATTTAAACAGAAAGAAAATAGCTGAGCTGAATATTTGTATTACTGTTTTATATTTTAATTTGTTTACCCCGAACGACGTCGGGTGCTCTGCTAGTTATTTAATAAATTGCTGTGAGTAAAAGATAATAATTTCCTCTATCAAAATATTACGATTTTCAGCAAAGTGTCCAACTTATCTTTTTCACAGCTATAAAGGTACATAAATATATTAAAAAGCTTTTCACAGTGAGCATTTTTTGGCAAATAAATTTCTATTCATTTGAAATAAAAATCTTAGTTTTATGTGAAGTGATGAAAAATATTTTCACTTCACGTTTTCTCCGAACAAGAATTGGGCCTATGTTCTTAAGAAAAACTAAAAATTCATGTATATGGCGTTCAAAAAATAGAAAATAAGTGTTCTTCTATTAAAATCTCTTAAATCAGTTTACCGCTCTCAGGAATTTATATATATATATATTTATATCTCCAAGAACAGAACAGCTAATATTTATTAAAATTTTCGGTGAAAGGGCCTACGAAAAATCAAAGAAATGTTTAATTTTTTTCAGGTATTACGAAACCTTTTGGGGGGGGAGGGCGAGGGTTGGGGTTGATGAAGGGGATAGGAACTTTCCCCTAGTTTCTTCCCGTGGATCCGCGCCTGCCGTCAACGCGGGATTTGGTGATGGTTACCCGTGTTGAGAGAAATATGTCCGGATATTTAAATTTTTATGTTCTGCACTGAGAAAAGAGCTACATATATGGGCAAATCTAAAAAACAGGAGCCTTTGTGTTATTTAGCTTAATTTTCACCGTTGTAAACTAAATCAAGCTGGTTGCTTTTGGATATAATTCATTGACATATTCTTGAAGCCTTAAAAAAAAAATTAGATCAACTGGCTGCATAACTTTTGAAATATGGGTGTTTAAATTTAAAAAAATAATGAAAACAAGTGAATTTTTTATGTAATTTTTAAGAGGGGGCACAATTAATTATGTCATAACTTTAGAAGCACACCATATTCTGATTTGAAATTAAATGGGCATTTAGCACTTATGTGTACACTTCATATGTAGTAGGTAAGAAAAGTGTGCATTAAAAAATAACGAAATGAATCTTGGAAATGGCAAGTAACTCAAAGTCTGTAGCTCGACATTTCACAATTTTCAAAATTTTGGTTTATTGCGTATAGGTTTTGAAGCATTTAATTTTAAGAACTTTTTAAGTATGTATTGCAATCTACAAACAATTACGAATAATTTGATACCTTAGCAAGAGGTGTGCTTTCAGAATAAACTAACTTTTAAAGATAAAATATTCTGCGATCTTGAGCGTAATTTGTATTCCAAAAACACCTTAATTGAAGGCACATTTGGACAATACGTCGAAACGATCTAAATCTTTCTATAACTGCTAGTCCTTATAAAATATACCTGTAAAATGCTTCAACAAATTTGTATCTAGAAGTGTGTAAAAACCCTGATTTACTACTTTTAATGATGCTCCTTTTTTTAGTCAGAATATTTCGGGAGTGGTATCAAAGCAACTTTTTTTTGACAAATGTTCTGATAGTTGCTCTTACTTAATTGGAGCCTTCTAAATTCAATGGCGTCCTCAGTTTTACCCTATTGGCTCCACTTTTCGAGATAGCGGACCTTGAAGCTTTGCTTAAATTTTAACTATTTTATAAAAAAGTCCCTGAGTTTTAAAGTATTTTTACTAAAAATTTTGCACATGGCCATTTTTTAATATTACCTTAACTATTCCATAAAATCATCGAAATCGGTTCACTAAAACATCTAGCTCCCATAGATCCCAATTTAGTATAGGTTCAATTTAACATATAGCACGCATACAATTTATTATTCAGATATGAAGTTAGAGTTATAGCGCAAAAACACATATCTGAGTAATCAGTTGTATTGGAGCTATATGTTAATGTGAACCTATTTCGATAATTTTAAGGAATAACTAAAGTAATATTAAAAAACTGTGCAAAATTTTAGTAAAATAACTTCAAAACTGAGGGAGTTATTTATAAAATAGTTTAAATTTAATACTGTTATCTCGAAAACCGGGGCCAATCTGGTAAAGCGGGGCATGCCATTGAATTTAGAACTTGCTAATTAAGTGAGTTCAACTTTCCAAATCTTTGCTCAAAGTTTACAACCTGAACAGCGTAATTTGAACCCAGCTTATTCTTTTGTTTTCTATTTCACGTTTATTCCTCGTCTAGCTTTTGAAGCACTTAATGAAAATGAATTACACTTATATTATTCGATTTATTAAGAGATTACGAATAAAATGATATATAAAACATAGGTGTGCTCACAAATTTAAAAATTACAATTTTTTATTTTGAAAGTGTACCTCTTTTTTAGATTTGCCCATATACAGTTGACGTAACTAAACTCTTTTCTCAGGGTGTACATTGTGACCCTCCAAATGACACTTTTAATTAACCTTTACACTACTTTAAATATACGTAGAGAAGAAAATTCAAATCACGGTGAAAAAAAGAATGATTAGTTTCCGACAGTTTTCTTAGATTTAAAGCTAGTTGGACTTTGGCTCTCGGCTAAAATTTTACCATGGCGATATTAATCAAAGCCGTAATAGCATTTTATAATGCAGATAAAATTAAATATTACGTATAGAACGAAATATGTAGCATATACATAAAAGTCCACAGTTTATTTTTATCACTTACCTGTTCTAAAGTTGACTACAATATCTATTAAAAAAATTGTATCACTTAGGCAGTTGAAGGCAATCCATCTTGTGCTCAGATCATCATTAAAGAATGATATTGCGACTGGCAGGATTATAAGATTTGCTACTAATAATAAAAGCATACAAAGGTCCCAATAAAATCTGAAACAAAATATACATATGTATATAAATCACTTATGTATCTAACGAATGTTTTCGAATTATAAATTAAGTAGTTGGCAAACCTAAATGAACTGCAAGGATGTATAACCCAGTGACCGGAAGTTTTCTGACGAATTCTTTCTTTAACCAGCGCTTTCCGACTGCCGAACAACTTCATGGCCAACCGATTGTCCGTCGGTTGAAACCATGATTGCAATTGACTTTTTAGGAAATTCGCAGAAACTTTTTCCGAAACAACAGGGATGGAAGGCATTGGCTCCTCCTTCGGAGTGCCATATAACGACACGTCATCAAAGTGAACCTAATTGTAAAATAGAGATGCATATTAACTTTGAGATCATAAATAAACAAAAGATTCTACATATATACATACACGTTTTTGCATGCATTAATATAAGATTTAAACTCCTACATAGTATATTTCCGAAATGTTCTACTTTAGAACGTAGTTCATAAGTAAATGAATGCGAATTTTGTCACGAAGACAAACAAACTAAAGCTGTGATGAAATGAATGGGCCCTGCAATATTAACGTAAAATAAACCTTTGTTCTTGCCATTTCGTTTCCTTGGTCGCATATTAATAAAGCCTCATCATCGAATGCTGTTACTAGAGAATCGGTGCAGGTATTTTCAAAAGATATACGTAAGTCGTTCTCATTCAAAACGGAGCAATATGAGCAGCGTACAGATTCCTCACTGTCTCCATGAATTAATCTGAAATAAGCACATTGAGCCAATAAAATACAACAAATTGAGAATTGAGAATGTGTTATGTGGTGTAATTATGCCAATTAAGACAATTTGTAGACCTTGCAGACGTGTGATGTACTTTTACGAATATTGTACAATTATTATTGCACGACTTTTGTTCGGTATTTCGATTGCACTATTTCCAGAAATAAATACTTACAAATGAAGATATACTACATACATACATACATGCTTATGTTATATACATATGTCTTACTTGTGTACATATGTACGTACTACATACATATAAAATATCTCAAAACCTCGCGCTTCATTTTTGAAGTAGAGGAGAAGATGAGAAGTATTTAGAGTTCCACCAGTGACTATCTTTTTTATTTCTTACATGAGTATCAAAAAACGTAATCTTAAAAGTCTTAACTACAAAACATTTTTGAGTATGGCATTCGCATTTTAGTATAAAAATGTCGCCTTTGATTGCCCTTTTCTCTTGTTTTTTTAACTTCCTTTTATTAGCTCGGGATGTAACTATGTAATATTGATGCGCCTAAAAGATGCAGCGATTTCTATTCTCAAGTTACATACCTGATGACAGTACGAATGGCAATTATAATAGGGAGGTTTTAGTTTTTTAAACTATACTTTTATTCTTCTGAAAATCAGATGGTTGTTTGAAATGACAATATTTTGAAATGCGTGAGCTAGACAAGGGCAAGAGTCAAAAACATGCCCTTTTACAGGGTTGAGTGTAACGTCAAACACATGTTGGAAGAAACAAAATCACCATAAGCTCCTTGAAAATGCAAAAAAGAAGGCGCGAGAAATGCCAGAAAAGGTGCCATATTTCAAAAACTCAAAAATTCCACAAAAACGGCTCTAACGTTTTCAGTCTGCTTCTCCTTTTAAAATATGTATAATGGCTACATCTAAAACGCAGAATAAATAGAATGCTTTTGGAATATACGGTAACATATTATCCGGGACGTTTTAACGAATAAGTAGTCGAAAAAGCTGGTTTCAAACATTCAGAATAGATAAAGAAATGCAGCCAATAATTCGAATGCATTTAGAAAACCGCTTTATGTGAAATCGAGTTGAGTAAAAAAATTAATCTAATTCTTTTGTATGCTATACACACATATGTACATAGATAATATATATATACACTAGGGTGGTCCGAAGCATAATGTAATAAACAAAGTGAAATCAATATATGACGTACGCATATTTGAAAATTTAAATTTAAACAATTCATATATTTGACTACATTAACCCTCTTTTGGCTTTTGTTCATGTATGAACACGATGTACGATGAGCTACATAATCTCAAAGTGAACAAAACACATATGCTTTGGATCAGGGTTGTTGCGAATATTCGCATTCGCATTCGCAACCACGGAGCTTCCGCATTAATTTTAACATTCGCATTCGTTTTCGCATTCGCAAAAATCAGTGCGGAGCTTTTGCGAATGCGAATGTTCTGCAAGTGCACTGATTAAATTTTCCTTTTTCCCTCCTACGCGTTTCAACGCTGTCGCGTCTTCACCAGGGAGTCTTTATTCAAAATATAAAAACAAATAAACAATAAACATTATTAGCAACTAATATTCGCTGATACAAAAACAATAAACGATAGTTAACAACAAATAATTTACATAAATTTTTACTTTAAACTCACATTCACATAAACATTGTTAACAAACTGATCACGCGATAAACGATATCACCAATTAAGTATTTTTGCACAATATAATAAAACTCTAACCCTATGCTCTTATTTATATTTAATATTAATTGCAGCTGCATAAACATTATTTGTGTTGTCCACGTCCTTTTTAAAGTTAATCGCATTTTCTAGTTTTTGTTGTATTATATTGTTCAAATATTGTTCAAAAATACTTAATTGGTGCTAGCGTTTATCGTGTGATCAATGTTTGTTAACAATATTTATATGAATGTGAGTTCAAAGTAGAAAAAATGAATGTAAATTATTTGTCGTTAACTATGTTTATTGTTTTTGTATCAGCGAATATTAGTTGCTAATCATGTTTATTGTTTATTTGTTTTTATGTTTTGAATAAAGACTCCCTGATGAAGACGCGACAGCGTTGAAACGCGTAGGAGGGAAAAAGGAAAATTTAATTTTTTCGCTTTTAACTCTATCGGCCGAAGCAGCTCCAACCCAGCAAACATAATAAATAAGAATTTGGCCCAAATAACTACGAAAATGACAAATTGTTGCCATTATTTTTTGCGTGTAGAGATACGTCGCGACGTTAGGTCGTGTCAGCGGCGGATCCAGAATTTTCTGATGGGGGGCGGGGGGGCTTTTGCGGGAAATTATGGCCCTTTCGAAGTTGAATTTCTTCCAATTTTCAAAAACTTTTTATTTGTCACGGGGAAAATACCGTAAAAATTATTTGTATCGTGCGAATATCTATAGAAATTATCAGGGTTTGAAAAACTGTTAGCACAGCGACAACAGCCAAGCATTTGCTTTTTTATAAATTGTTGTTGCTTTGCTAGCCGGCAATTAAAAGTACCTGATGAAGATCTTGCAGAAGCAATGAGCTTAGCCGACGACGCTTTAAAGGAATTTGAAGAAATGCGACAAGATGCAGAAAAAACTTTCATTTGCTTTTCGAACACGTAGAAGAAGTATACACCAACCTAGGTACAGAAATCAAAGTGCCGCGATACAGCAGTCGCCAAAAGTATCGCTTTAACCCTAGACGTACTTCGTTAGTCGGTTCGACTAACAAAAATCGTGTTTCGCTTCGTACCTCTCGCTGAAGTCATTTACCATTTTGTTTATTATATGTAACAGAGAAAATAATATGTATTTAATATTTAGTTTATGTGTTTGAAAAACTATATATCTTTTATGTTTGTTATTTCAATTCAACGTTGGCGTTAGTCGTTTCGTCTAACAAGCCCGCAGACAGGGTCAAAAGAGCGAAGAATTTCCAGGGTTAATGTGAAAACCAGAGACGCCGAGGCATACAATCGAGTCGCTTTTTACATTCCCTTCCTTGATACATATATTGCTCATTTGAAAAGCCGGTTCCTAAACCATAAATCAGTTTTAAATAATTTTAGTGTTTTGTTTCCAAAGTATGATTTTAATGAAAAAAAAACTGAAGAATTGTTTGCTTTCTATGAAAAAGTAATCGACTGCTCGAAACAAAGCTTTCTTTTGGAGGTAAAAATGTGGAAAAAACGAGTTTCACACGAACATTTTCGAAATGCTCTGGAAGCATTACAAGTAGCTAATACAACGTCTTTTGGGAATGTTTTTAAGATCTTACGTATATTGGCACTTTTGCCCATTTCAATAGCCACACCTGAACGAAGCTTTTCATGCCTGAAAAGAATTAAAACCTACTTGAGAAATACAACATGTCAAGAAAGATTCAACAGTCTAGCATCTATGAATATTCACAAAGATATACATTTTTCAGTTAACGAATTTCTAGAAGAATTTTTCAAAAAAACCACGAAAAATTTTAAAATTCTTCGTTTCATTGATTCATAAGTAAAAAGAAAAATTTAATGTGTTTAAAATTATCAAAATGTTTTATAAATAAAGCGAAAAATTGAATATATGATTTTAAAAATTCATGTTTGAAACTTTATTACGCATACTTTCTTTTAAAGAGCCTTTTTTCTATACCCATATTAGTGAAATATTATTCTTTGACTTGATGGTTTAACCCCCAAAACCCCCCGTGTATCCGCCACTGGGTCGTGTTACCCGTTGTTGTGTAGTGTAACAAAGCCGGCCAAAAGTCAGATTTATCAACTTTGATAAAAGTGTCTTTAAACATATTGGCTGCGTTTCTTTATACATTCCGGATAATCCCATTTCACATTTCCCATTTCAGCGGATACTCTCTCCGCATGCCAACGTCGCACATGAAAATTTGTTGACTAAGTGCCTAATTAATTGTACCCGTTGTCCGCTATTGCATGACATTGTAACCAGTTTTAGATCAAAACTCATAGCTTATGCATTACATTCGGACCACTTTTAGTACAATTCCCCTGTTTTACATTACCTTGCTTTATATTTTTTGACTATCTTTGTTCTAGATACAAAGCTACTAAACCTACGACTATATTATTCGAGCAATTGACCAATCTTTCCTTCAGAGTATTGGTTCAAAAATGGTGGGTAGGCACTGTGGCCAATGGCAAAGTTCGTTTGCTACCTCTGCATGGTTGTAAGTCATGCAGAGCCCGCAAAATGCTCCGGAAGCAGTGTCCGGAGGATGCATCAGACTAGGCCGAGCATACTTTGAAGTGCCATCTAATTAAAACTTAAGAAAGTTCAATTACATGGCAGTTGAGAAGTGCATGTGAAAAATTTCATAAATTGCATAAGGGAAATTTTTGCACATGCAGCAGTACATAGCATGTATTTAGGCGCCTGGTGTTAGCAGACGCGCCTAAACACTGTGATTAGGTTATAAATATTGCGCCATCTGTTACTCAAAAGGGGAAATGCCTACACACACATACTTTTGTCTCCTTCTCTTACATCCAGCGCAGGCACGTACTTACAAAATGATAACAAAGTGATTTTGTATGGAAAATCGTGTATGCCTAATGTGACCAACCGTACTTCTTTCGGAAGTACAGAACTTCTTTTTTCGCTCTTGTACTTCGTACTTCGAAGTACAGTCAAATGTACTTCTTTGCAATATTTTGTACTTCAGGAGGGAGATTCTGTAACCATGATATAAATGTTTTTGCGTCAAAAAGTGCGATAGCGATTCAAAAATTGTCGCTAACTGGTTACAGAATCTCCCCCAGCTCCTGTACTTCTGTACACCCTTTTTGATGTGGGCGATCAATGGCGGCTGTCGTGGAGCCTAACATTGAATAAACGGTAGGAAAGGTGTCTTGTACTGCTGTAGGGGAGCTATCGGTAAAAGGTGGAGCCTCTCGCCCAAATTAATTCATTAGCTCTAAGAAACCAGATTTAAGCCTATATTGCTTCAAG